GTGGCCCAAAATCTTTTTTATGGCAGAGGAAAAAAGCCACCCCCGCATTTTTTTCCTTTTTTTTTTTTTTTTTTTTTTGTCAAAAATCAGTTTATATATACTTTTTTTACATTAGCAAGGAAATAATCACTGCACTTTTCTAATAACTTGAAAAAATTAGGTAGCATTGAGATTTTCTGCGACATAATTACATTGAATAATACTGATAACCAAAAATGAGCTACGGAGACATAAAAAAGATATTGGTACTACATAATATATTTACATTATGGTAACACATAAAACCTTTGTATGTTCAACATCATATTTTTGCATAATCTTATGTAAATAAAACATGTTGATTTGACAGGCAGTAAGTATTGAGCGAAAGACGGACATTAAGTCAGTTCTACTTATTCTCATTGTGTGGGGCCGATGTACACAGTAAAACCAAATAAATTGAAAAACCTTTTTTTCCAAGTGTGTGGATGAAACAATACATTTGATTAAATATATTAATTGTGATTAAAAGTATTTAGATAATTGACTAAACTAATTGAAAGAACAACAGATTCAGAGCAGTAATTAAGCCAAAACTTTACAAAACCCATACATTTTGCATTTAAATACTTAAATACTTTTGACTGTAAAAGCTGTTATAGCCAGAACTCTGAATGTGGCAGCTTTAACTTCACCTTGTTCAAATTCTATTAAAAGAAAGACTCTAATTAAGCACATTTCTCTGTATTTGCTTTTATTCCAAATTGGAGCTTGAATTACATTTAAAATTTTCCATTTTGATATGAATATCCTGAGATTTGGTTCCAGAGGTCCTGCAGTTTATTTAGATGATATTCTACAACCTTAGCTTTTATTTTTATTTTTAATTTTTTTAAGGGACACTTTGAATTAATGACACCTTTTCTAATCACACTGCCCAGCTTCTTTCTGAGAAGTCTAGAAGTGGTCCAAGGAGAAGTTGGAGTTCTGTCTTTTTGCTCTGACTAAATCATACCTGTGTGTGATTACATGGTTTCATTTCTCACATCTAACCTCTTTCACCTAAAGTATAGGTCGCATGCGCTTGAAAGTGTGTGCGTGTGTGTGTGTGTATCCCTAAAGGAACTATAATGTTGGTCAATGAACAAAGGAGGTGTCCTCAGTCTATTAGGTATCTCAGACTCCATTAGGTCATGGTGTGCACCCCCAACAGACACACAAAGATACATCACCCTCATTAAACTCCCATTTAGCCTTCAAATACAGAGACTGCACACAAACACATTAATGACAGTGGATGTATGTTAATCCTTTGCACTACTAGATGACAAAGTTATTTACCAAAATAACTTTGTCATATTATGTGATTTAATATGTATCCTGTTATGTTTCTGGTAAAACCTTCTGTTGTGGGTCTTCAGGCTGCTATCCGTGCCCCGGTCCCTGCCTCAATCCAATAGCTCTGGGAAGCCGCTGGCTCGCCTACGCTGAGAACAAGGTGGTTTACACACACACCCCCACACATGCACACACACATATACACATACACATACACATACACATACACATACACATTCATCTTATAACAGAATTGCCTTATCTCAGAGAAACGACATATTTACCCTAAAAATAAAATGCTTTTTATCTGTTTTCTGCTTCTTTAATCTGTCTGGATAAACAACTCATTCTAAGAAGAGTCCACTACAGATGATAACATTTTTGAAAATCAACAGATGCGCAGGCATTTTCTGTTTAATGGGATTGTTAAGTATTTACAAAAAACAGAATGTTCTGCTGCAGGATTCTGCAATACATTTAATGCATAACCGTGTTTTGGTGCTGGGCCACTCAAGTAATTGACAGATGGGACCACTGTTTGTGTGACTGCCTGAGGAGGATTTTCTGAAATGACAAAATGTAGCTTTTTGAACAGTTGGAGCAGGACTGGGGCCAGGCTTTTCAAGGGATGTTGTGTTTGAAATTAAATTGGTGGAGATTGGCTGTTTGGTTTTTCCAGCTCTTTCAGTTTTTTTCCCTTAAGAAAATCAGTCTAGCAATAGTTGATAGTCGAACTCTATAATTCTGAGTTAATTTCTCCAGATTTTCTCATTGCTTACCTCCAGCAGTCTCCTTATTGCTTTGTATGCTTGTCTTTATGGCAGTTAATAAGATGTCACCAGTCTCATGGAGGAGCCTGTGGCGACAACGCACAGTCCTACACAGCTACAGTGATCAATGCTGCTAAAGTAAGCACACACTTGTCTTCCATCTACCGTTGTTTTAATGTCAGAATTTATGCTAGCTGTCTGCAGGACAGCTATTTAGTCTCAACTCCACACTTTTTAAAGGGAGACGGCAGTACATTGCTGATGCTAACTTGTGTTTAGTATTGAAATGAACAGATTAAATTATTACTTATTAAAAGGTATTAGACCTTTTTGAAAAATGTTCTAATCAGTCAGTGTTTTGTGACAAGCATCAGTCACAAAACACTGACCTGTGTATTCAGTTGATATCACTTGGAATGAAAAAAATATTGAGAAGTGTTTGTGTCTTTCTGTATACTTAATTAGTTTGACAAGTAAAAGTCTAAGTGAGCACACTATCAGGTTTTCATGCTGTCACTACTCTGATCAGCTTCCATTTCCCATATCGTTACCTTTCTAAAATAATGTCAAGTCATTTATTGCTAAAAGATGAATCAGTTTTGGCAACAAAAAAAAAAATAAAAATAAAATAAACTTATAAATAGGCATTTATTTTAAGAAGGTGATATGAAGAAAACATCCCCTCAGCATGATGCTCCCACTACCATGTTGGGGGTTGTGTTTTGAGGGTGATGCACATAGCTTTTACATGCAGACCAGTGCATCGGCTCCTACATGTTACCTATGACCTTACATTGCTCATGGTGAACTTTAACTTGGAATTGACCTGACGCCAGCTCTGCCAGTATTGATGTTAAGTAGAGCAGAAAGGGCTGAGCTTGTCACATGCTGATATCAGAAGGATTTATTTAGCTACAAATGATCAAGAGTTCACCAAAAGAATGATGTCATTGCATGTTAAGGAATAACAGCATTATTATTATCATGGTTTAGGTTCATTTTGTTATTGAAAAATGGAATCGAATTACTTATTTGCATTCTTTATGTTTTTCTAAAATTGCATAAAATAAGACTATTAGAAAGGCTGTTAGAAAGAACTTCACACTGTTCCAATTTGGTTATCCAGTTGTCTGCTTGTGAGAAGAATAGAATATGATACAATAGAATAGAATATACTTTATTGATCCGCAAGGGGAACTTGCTTATTTGTTGACTAGTTACATCATCTAATGCGTCATTAACAAATAATAATGTGACCACAGGTTATATCAAATTAATAAAAAAAATAAATAAATAAATAAAAAAACTTAAGTGTGATATGGTAATTTAAATACAACCTAAATATAAAATAAATAACTAAAATAATGTTGATGTAATGTTAATCTATTAATGAGTCCAGAGAAAACTTGGATCTAAAAACACTCAGACCATCAATTACTATGATAACTGTTAACTTCAGCCTTAGTATCGGAGTTAAAGAGGATGGACAGGTCATGCCTCACACACTTTCCACTTCACAGCTTTTCACTGCTTTGTGTTGACTGATTATATAAAAACCCCAATGAAAAACACTGAAGTCTACAGTTGTATTAAGACCAAATGTAAATACATTTAAAAAGCTTGAATACATTTTCAAGATACAGTACATCATTGTTTTTCTCACTTCCCTCCCATGTTTTAGTAGAGTTATCCATGTTGAGAATGCATAATGGGCTTTTTACTTCAATCGCTTGAATCCTGTTTAAATAAATGTTTTATCATTGGTTTGAACTCTTGCTTATGTAAAACTGTAGTGAGAACAGCCTTTCCAGCTCTGCCTCCACCATCTGTAAATCTATTGACATTGGATCTGCCCAGCCGTTCCTGGCTGACCGGCTCTGAGCTTATGAGACACTTCATCAACCTGCCTGTTTTTTGTTCGCCCTGTAATCCACTTCTCGCCATTGGTCTTGGTTCACTTGTCTCCATTGGGGAGTGGCTCTAAAATGAGTCACTAACGGCCCACCTCTGATCTTAGGTTAAATTCATTCCTGGCATCATTTAGTCACTGACCATCATATGCTAATTAGCTACTCCTTGTGGGGATTGTAGTTTATTTGTTTATTTAGTCACAGAGAGAAAGATTTATTTCTAGATTAAGTGTATCAAACAGCAAGTGTGTGAACTCTGTAATTACCATAAAAAAGAACTGTGTCATCAGGAGGTTAGCAGTAGGCTGTACAACAGCAGGGCTATCGATATGAAGACAGGCATTCTGCACGCGCGCCCTCTCCTCATTTAGAACCATATATCTCAATATGGATGACAAGGTATCTCATTTTGGCTCGTGGCGCGACACGCTGGCTCTGTGTGCTGATGTCCAGAGACAGAGACGCAGAAGGGGGAAGGGGCAGCATTAAAGTGTAATGGCTTTTGTTTATAAGAAAGATTAAAGAGAGATAGCCAGAACCATCCAGTTGTTTCTGTCCTGTATGCACTCTTTGGGCCATACCAAGCCTTTTGCTGATGACTACTTTGCATATGATTAAGAAAGACCTTTTGCACAAATTAGATTGAAATGTGCTCAAATGGCGACATCAGGCTGTTTTTTGTCAAACATCTTACTTAATCGTCTCCCCCGGCCTCCTCCCCCTAACTAAATCAATACCCCCTGTTTGGACTACCACGAAGAACTCCACAACTGCAGTGATTAGAAAACACATTAGTGTTGATCAATTAGAGGCCAAACGCCTCTCTTAATAATTGATGGCATTTCTTACATTTTACACACGCAAATGCACCCAGGCAGCAGAGACTGTTAGTGTGCCTGGCCAAGTGGCAAAGAGAGACAGTAGGTGATCTTCAGACCCAACAAACTGGAGGCGCCATGGTGTATTGACAGGGCCGCCTAGTCTGAATGCTTGATTAGGCTCTCCAGGGCCCCTTTGGCGCTTACACACATGCAGACACTCAGTCACATGCATTGGACTCCATTAGACTAAGACAGTGTAGTACGTGAGATAGACTCCACTTAAGCAGCACTATCCACTTCCCTCAATTGAGCCACAGAGGTGTGTTTGAGCCAGACACCCTGGCTGGACCTTAAGCTGACACAGAGGAGCCTCTCTCACACACGTTGGAGTCTCTTGTGGCGGCAGGACTACAAATAATCAGCACTACAAGTTATCAGTGGGAATCAAGAGAGCATGCTGTATATACCCACACAGATGGTATTCCACGTATATACCCTGTGCTTCCGAGTTGCAATTTTATTGTTTTAGAAAAGTCTTTAGAGCAAATGGATGCAGGATTAGATTTATAATTTCTGATGCGTGGATCTGATGAAATTTACTCTGTTTTTTCAATGTTTTTTCAGACTTTGAAAACAGGCCTAACAATGGTGGGTAAAGTTGTGACCCAGCTGGCCGGCACCCTACCGGCAGGCACACCCGACGAAGAGGGAACCCCTCACAGTGCAAGTCGCCGCAGCCCTCATAGTCCTGGCGTGATCACCATCATTGACACGGACAATGTTGGCGAAGGACAGGTCAGCTAATGAAACACAGGACTCTTAAGAACACTTGAACTCATGATTTCTGTCATTCCTGCTTTTAATTGTAAATGTTATTTTATATATATATATTATATATATATAAAAAAAAATCCCTTCTCACCCTCCGCGGGTGGTCTCTTTTTCATCCTCTGAGCTCGAGTCCTCTACCAGAGGCCTGGGAGCTTGAGGGTTCTGCGCAGTATCTTGGCTGCACATTTCTGGACTGAGATGTCTGATGTTGTTCCTGGTATCTGTTTTAGCCACTGCTCCAGTTTGGGGGTGACTGCCCCGAGGGCCCCGATGACCACAGGCACCACTGTGGTCTTCACCTTCCAGGCCTTCTCCAGTTCCTCTCTGAGGCCCTGGTATTTCTCCAGCTTCTCGTGCTCCTTTTTCCTCATGTTGTAGTCACTTGGTATTGCTACATCCACCACAACGGCTTTCCTCTGTTGTTTATCCATCACCATAATGTCCGGTTGGTTCGCCATTACCATCTTGTCTGTCTGGATCTGGAAGTCCCACAAATCTTAGCTCGGTCATTCTCCACCACCTTTGGGGGTGTTCCCCACTTTGATCTCAGGGCTTCCATATATATATATATATATATATATATATATATATATATATATATATATATATAAAAAACATAGCTATATATTACTTTCTTTT